GATCATTGTCTTCAAACCCTAAACCCTAAACCTTAAACCCTAAACCCTAAACCCTAAACCTTAAACCCTAAACCTTAAACCCTAAACCCTAAACCCTAAACCCTAAACCCTAAACCCCAAACCCTAAACCCAAAAGCTTCGGCTCGTATTGCGTTCGGGTTCGACACGCTATGCGAGGGATCGATAGTTCATGCTCGGGCTCTTCAGCTGAAGTGGCGAGTGACCTTTTTGGGGGTTTAGGGTTTATTTGGGAGTTTCNNCCGAGAATAAGGGGTACCTTATTTTGGGGGGTCCTTATAATAAGGATCCTACTATTTAGGGTACCATATTAGGGTCCCCTATTTTCGGAAACCCCAATTTGTGCTTCTAGTTGCTGGTGCTGAAGTACCGTCCAGGGCAACAAGTTAAGCACTGCTGCTGCTACTATGCCCCTCCTGCTTCCCCCCTTCAGCGCCACTTCCTGTCCTCTGCTCTGCCTATGTAGGAGAAAGTCCACTAAGCGTTCGACCGCTGTAGAAATTATGCTCTGTCAGCCCGCCCGCACCCCGGGAGCCCGGTTCCATCCCCTCCTTGGCGTACTTTTGCTTCTGCTCCTCCGTTCCGAGCGCCAGAATCGGAGGCCTTGGACAGACGTGTTCGAAGTCGACGTCAAACCCAGGCAACAGTAGGCCTTATATAAGACCCACATCACCAGGCCCAACACACCTAAACCATCACCTCAAGCCCAAAAGGCCCAAAGCCCCTCCAATCGAGAACAAGGGAAGGGATGGAAATCTCAGGACACTGAGATACACACTGAGATACAGGACAACTTTTGAACTGTGGATGAGTGCTGATCAGTGTTGGGATTCTCCGCGTTTCGCCCTTGATGGTAATTAATATTGAGATGATAAGTTTGGATGAAAAGGTCTGCGTAGCCATTAATGATATTCCTTTATAGTCCCTGAAGACCCTACATCATTCCAGTTATAGTATACCCCAGAACCTTCTTCCAAAGATTGAGGCCTTTGTACTAAGATAGGGGCCTTCATACTTCGGGTGAGCTTCTGACATATATGATGGTAAAAGGATGCTAAACAGCCGTCAGGAACAGAATTGGACTGGGTAATGTAGGGGCCTTGATAAGTTGAAGAGGGTCTCTGAGCGCCACTCGGGATAAGGATGCGAGTCCATTCCTCTGGCCTTCGCTGGCCTCACTGCTTGAAAAGCAGCTTTGCCGGCTCCTGCTGGGCAGCCTGCTGTTGTTTCCCAAACAGTCCTATGTACCTATATGGTAGAATGTAGGTTTTCTATATTAGGTAATTATGGTTTGAGCACGTATTCCCCATAACCCTAAACCCTAAACCCCAAAACCCTAAACCCTAAACCCTAAACCCCCATATAGGTACTTAGGACCCT